CAGATATCCTGTGCACTCGGTTTGAGACGTCTATCAATATAATCAGTGCTAAAGTCTATAAAAAAGTGTCTAACATTACAAATACAGTCAAGTCATATGAGGGTTCAATCTAATATCTAATTATATTCATTTAATTATATTTAATAAATAAATCTCGCGCAGCCAATAGTATTAATACACTGGTGTTATGAACTGGACAGGATAGTATTTGAATTCATATGGGATAATCAGTCAATCAAAATGTTTATTTTTAATAAGAAAAAATACACAGAGAAAACCTTAAATAGCATGCATATTAATTTTATTATAGCACAAAATAATTTATCTTAAAATTAATATTAAATATTTTACAAATATTTATTTGATAAATTATAAATATCAGCATAAAATCATCCAATATTGACCCTGCGCACACCTTAATTGCAATCATTATTTATCTGAATTATACGATTATTCTGTTTCTTACGGTACACCTAATGTCAATACCTAATGGCATTACAGTCATATCAAATTAGTCTCTCATTTTGACAATTCTATAAATACTGTGTATAATATCAGTCAGTCTTGTAAAGTGACAGTAAAAGAGATTCATTGAAAGTTTTGTTACATCTATATATTCAATACTGTGCTGTACTGTAGTTCTGTATCGATATATTCATTTTATACAGTATAGACTCAAACGTGTAAATTGTAAACACTTATCAACTAATGAAGATATGTTTGAGAAATTAATGATATATTCCAAGGCTGTGATCAGAATATATTATAATTCTCGGATGAAAAATTAAATCATTGCTTAAGAACCGTTTTTTGGAGAAAAAGTTTTGCAACAAAAAAACTTATGTCAAAATCACTTTAGTTTATTTGTAATGTTTTGTCTGTCTGAAACCATCAAATTATCAATTTATAATGACAATCTTTGCCATCAATTGATTGAATATGTAATGAATATCTTAATAACTCATCGAATATAATAAAACACAAATTTTAATATTTTAATATTTAATTTTAAATACTCACTTAAACTCATTATAAATATATTAACTTTTAATATGGAAATGAGTTTTAGTCCAAGTGTTACAATCTGTGAGCCGAGTGCACACAAAAGCGGCTCAAATGGTGTGCCCAACGGCACAATCCGCCACCGCATGAGACGAGTGAACAGTATAACCGTCGCCAACGCCTATCGGGAACAGAAGATTCAAAGGGATCTCCAACCTGACAGACCGTATGATCAGTATATTTATTAGTTATATGAAGCAATATAATATAAATAATACTTTTGTAAAATCTTTATTAAATAGTAATAGCATCCGCATCTTGCGACTACTCAAATATACTGTACACCACATCATAATTACTTTTGCTTATATTATAATCTGCATATAATTTGTACCTACATATTATGTGGATTAGTTATTACTAAAGGGTTAAAACTTATTTATAAAAAATATATGCAAACTATGCTATCACGTATTTAATAAAGATTTTACAAAAATATTATTCATATTATATATTGTCTCACATACAGTATTTATAGTATATATTTAATAATCATATTAAGACATTTATTTTATAATAAGTTAGAGTAGTAAATAAGCTAATAGTGTATTGATAAAGTATTCATTATTCAATAATTTTATAATTAAATCATATACATGCTAATTTTTTTTATTAAATAAGTATTAATTATTTTATTCTTCAAATAGGTTACATTTCTGTCGAGATTCATTATTCAGTTCATCAAGCAATTTTCAAAACTACAGGGGATTTCTGAATTTAGCACTAATTATGCTGGTAATTCATTATTGCAATTAACTTTACAAAGCTTAAAAATCCTATTTTTATTTAGAATATATTTTTATTAAAAACTAACATTCATTTCTGTAGCACTAAAATGTATGCAGGCAAAATATAAAATCTTATAAGCATTCAAACAATTTTACTACATATTTGTACTCAATATTTAAGAAAAATTATGTCATGAATACCGGGTGAGGCATAAAACGATAGCACTATCGATTCAATACGTTATAAGTTATATAAGTAACAAATAAAAGGTCTTTGAAAATATATTTTGAAACATACTGTAATTGATTGTTTTTTATATGAAAAATTTACCCAAATTTTTTTAATAATATTATTATGTTTATTGGATTTTCTGATTTACATTATTACTAATGTTTCAAAACATAATTTTCAAAGTAAAACATAATGTTATACAGTAAACCTTTGTTCCGATATTTAAATAGTACTTGCTTACAGAATGACAATATGAATGAAATCTACTTAATACAGTATACGGTACTGTAGTATATTTGTAAAATAAAATCTGTATGAATTATATGAAAGAAATCACTAAACTCTGCTTTCATATTAGTGTTACAATGGTATACAATATTACACAATCATATGAAAGTAAAGTAGAGATGCATCTTTAGTATAATCCATAGATATATTAAATTGACTAAACTGTAGTTAAAAAGAAAAAACAAATTTGACAAATATTTTGATTTGAGTTTTAAAATAATTCATATAACGTGTAACATACAAAGTACAATACCTACTACTGTTGTTCATTCACGTAGCACTCAGACTGTTTTTATGATAATCTTAATTGACCTTCAAGTTTTTCATTTAAAAAATGTTATTTTCATGAATATTACAAAATATAACCAAATTTTCAAAAACAAAGTNATTTTATATGAATTGCATAAATAATAATCAAACATTTTTGAGACATCAAAAGATTCTTTTGTAAAATATATAAAATAGATTTTTTGTACAAAAGATGTTATAACAGCACATTTAGGTTTGCAAATTGTTTGTTTAATATTGACACCACATAAATGTGTATTACGATATAAACTTTTTAATAAATAGTTTTTAAAATAAACATATAAAATAATATACTTTTTTAGAGAATTATATTTAGTTATAAGTTTTATAAACATGTTCATATTATATACTGTAACTGTTTAAGATTCGATGACAGATTAATTGATTTTATAGATTATATTTATACAGTATTTGTTTCAATTCTATGATAAAATTACGAAATAGAATATTTTTATTTTCATAATAGTATCCAAGGTAATTTTATGTAAAATTACAGAAAATGATGCATTTTGAGATAACATAGATATTGACCCGATTTTTAAATTTATCTATTTATACAAAATCTTGTTAAGGACTGTTAAATAAGATTTGATGACTTATATAGTGTATAAATATTAGAAATTGTTGTTGATATTTAAACTCTGTATTTTAGATACTAATGTTATTAAACTATTTTATTTATAATACACATAATGGTTATACAAATATTTTAATTCATAAAATTCACAGACATATAATAAAAGTCATTTAACAGTTTTTAAATAATTTATAAATTAATAAATCTTACTTTTTCTCTATCTTTGTCTGACTAAATAAATGAAAGTATAATTGATTTATATTTCATATCCTGTATGAGAACTTATAAAATAATAATTAAAATAACCCATATTATCATTGTCATCTATTTTTTAGTTGATTGTGAGCAAAAATCTAATTCATGGACTAAATAACATTATTTGTGTTCACTATAAGGGGTTTATATTGTAGTTACTAACTTTATTAGACAACTTTTACTAACCTACATAGGTTTGTGTTTCGTAGTGTTTATATTTGAATAGCCCGGAGCCTTGACTAGTTTTGTGGTAATGTGTTCACCGAATAAGTTAGTTGTCTATTCCATTCCCCATAACCCAGACTACCTGCGCTCTAAAGACCTGTCACTAAACAACTTTCAAAATTCATTTGTGAGAGAAATGTGTTGAAAATATGAGTTACTTTTCATTTGTATATGTTATTAAAATAAAAAATTTCATTATGTGTATTAAAAGTTTTAGAAACAATTTGTTATGTTAATTGTCAAAAATATTTTGATTGAATTACACCAAAAATATCTATATATTTATTCATTAAATATTTAATGAAAAACTATAATACCTTTCAAAATATAAATATGGATTCAAATCAAAAGTATGTCAATAATCAATTTGTCTCATTAATAGTAAACTTTTTAGAAGTATATTTTAAATAGAACTTGATCATTATCAAGATACAAGTATTAATTATATAAAAACTTATCTATATAAGAAATATAATGTCATACTTTATAATATAATTTGAGATATTTTTTATTTTGTATGAAACACTGTAGTTGTGTCTCATGTGATGAGTGTATAGATTCATCACTCAATATATTGATGACAATCTTCGAGACCAATGATTTCGATGCAGTGATGGCAGAGACGCAACCCTTTGTCATAAACAGTGTCTTTCACAGCGGATTACATACAATGATATCAATGCTCAAAGCAGGACTTACTTTGGATCAGGTATTCATCAACCATATTATAATTTGCTTATTATTTTTCACATTAAATGTATCCATAAATGGAATCATAATATGAGACATAAACTTATAAGTTTATTACAAAAATTATAAAACAATATAAAAGGTTTCAAGACTCTAATCTTATAAATTTGTGTCTCGTTTTGTGGACCCAGAATCTGGATTCCAGATACAGTGTTATGATAGAGAATTTTTGAACAAAGCAAAAAGTTCATTAAAATGTTTAGATTTCTGTTTACAGAGACACAGTGATACTATGTATCATATTTGTGTTTTAATTGAATTGTATTGTTTAAATAATGTGTAATGAATATTTAGACGGACTTAAAAGCAGCAAGTGAAAATCAGAGACAAACTTTGGATTTATGTAATCGCAAGAGACGTAAAAAGATATTTTCCAATCTGACGGCTAAGTTCAGTAAAATGTCGTGCGATAAGTACACGGATGTGGAACTACACGCTGAGCTCACCTACGCTATGATCATTGGTTGCGGGGCAGCACTGGAACTGCTTCAGTGCCATAATCTCAAAAAGTTGGCCAAAATTATTTATAATATCAACACTTGTATGAACTCATTCAGGTGAGACATATTGACAATTATACGGTACAGTATAACTTAACGCATTATTACCATATAATATTATAACAGTAAATTAATTTATATAATATAATATATACTGTATTATAACTTATTGTAGTAATTATTGAAATCATGTTTCTTTAATAATGAGTAATTATTATTTACAACACAATATCTGAACTGCAAATGCAAAATACCTTTTTTCTTAATACAGTATTTTATTAAAATTATGTCTACAGAACAAAATTCAAAAGTGTTATTAAATTAAATACTGTACACATGAACGTATTATATAAAAACTTAACCAAACTTTTAAGCTATGATATTTGTAAAACAAACAATAGTTTTAAAAAAGAAAATTTAAAATATTAACTTATAGTGTAATTTGTAAGAAAATAATGTTTAAGTTTAATAATTAAAAGTTTACTAATGAATTTCAATACAGATTATGCCGAACCATATGTGAGAAGCGGACCAAATGGTTGAGCCCTAAGTCTAAGAGACAGTTTGAGGCGGGCGTTGGTCTGGAGCGAGGGTTTCGTCACCTAATCGTCAGTTATATTCCGCCAAAAGCACTGAAAATAATCAATTTCTTGGGCTATCGGGGCGTAAGGGAGACGGCGTTTGTAGAGCTAAACCGGACTGCATTTGAGTGCAATTGTGTGTACAGTATAATCGCTGAATTAGTGATCATTATTTACTGGCTTTACGTATCAATTTCTTGGGCTATCGGGGCGTAAGGGAGACGGCGTTTGTAGAGCTAAACCGGACTGCATTTGAGTGCAATTGTGTGTACAGTATAATCGCTGAATTAGTGATCATTATTTACTGGCTTTACGTCGAAACGCACACTAGTTTTGGGCCTAAAAATACACAATTTTTGCGCCAATTAGTCGATAATAAACTGAAATCATTTCCTAACGTAAGCGTTGATAACGAATTGTGTCATAAATACAAATTGACTTTTAATATTGGATACTATTGTATGGAATGACAGAGCATTTTGTACAGAGTAGCCAACGCTAAGTTGGTTGAGTTGTCGGGCGATATACAGCTGGCCATCAATGAGTACGAGAAGATCATTGAGGATTACGACCAAATGTATCACAGGTTGGCTCACTTTGAACTCATGTTTTGTCACGCAGTCCGGTGTGAGTGGTATCACTCCGTCCGATACGCCGAACTACTCAACAAACACACCGTCCACTCGCCCGCTATCACCACATACTTGGAGGCAATCTTTCGTTACACCAAAGCCATGGATAATAAGGATCGGGAGCTTAGGACAGAGGCCTCCCGTTTGTTGGCGTAAATGCTTTTTATATACAGTATTTTTACTATACAGTAGTCTTACATTTTATTATTCATATACAGTAAATCACTAAACAGTTTCACATTAATCCATATTTAGTACCTTTTGAACTAATTATTGTTAATTTGTTATAAGTTTATTTACAAAATTCAATTGAAATATGTTGAAATTCAAATTCGGTATATGAATAGTATTATTATAATGACTGTGATTTTAAATTAATATTGTGTAATTTACGGGCAGGACTGTACCGAAACTTCGGGTGAGATATTTAGGCAAAACTATAACCTTCGAGAAAGCGGTCGTTGTATTATCGCAAAGATATTTTCAAAACAAAGACTATATGTTACTGCCGGCTCTAGTAAGACATAACCATTATTATGATTTAATTAATAAACAAATCATTAAAATTGATGTTATTTTAAACTACAGGAAATTCTTTATCATCTCAACTATACATTCCTATTGATTGGCAATCAAACACTTCTTAATAAATGGATGTCAAGAGTGGACAAAGAGATTGAAGCCCACAGTAAGATGTTTGGTATGCATTGTGTTTTGTTATTTTCAATATTTTCCGCTTAATGATTGAGACTACTGTACTGTATATTTATTTGCTCAATGTTATTAAATTGAAAACACCAGTTATAACGAGAAGTGGTGACAACTATTTGACGGCACTCTTCTATAAAGGAGTTATTTATAAACTAATGGGACGTGTCATTGAAGCGCAACAGTATTTTAAAGCTGTTATTAATCAGTAATTACTTTTGCATTTTATTTACCATATATACGGTATTAATCAAATATATGCCTCATTAATTTGTACTCATTTTTATTTTAAGACAAAATTGTATTGAGAAATTCAAGAATGGTTTAGTACCACAAACCTTACTAGAGTTGGCATTAATTGAAATGCAGTTGAATAACACACAAAAATGTAGAGAATTATTGGACAGAATATTGAAAGAATATTCTGGATATACCATTGAGAACCTGATTCATATTAAAGTTTATGCGGCGCTCAGGGAGTTGGGCTTCAATACGGATAAAGAGTCGGACACTTTAAGTAAGTGATAATTATTATAAAATATGTTACCAGTATATCGATATGTAAATATTTATATAGAGTACTTCATAAACATGTCAGTATTTTACGCAAATAATTGTTTGTATTGAATGGTCTTTGCAGGTAATGAATATGGTGAAAATACATCAAATATAGAAAATACAAATATGACAACTGAATTTAACAACTGAATATAACATATTATGTAATTGTAGAAGATATAGTTATTATACTTATACGGTACTATTTTTGTATTAACAATAACATTAAATAAATCCTGCTATTCATTATAAAATTCATATTTTTGTTTATAAAATTACTAGGTATTATCAATCATAAAATTCTGTTTGTTTATTTAATTTTTTATCAATAATTATATTTTGAAAACAACTTTTGAAACAAATAGATTGTAGATTATCTAATGTTATGAGCTTTTATGCTATTTCTCATAAAATAACAACAAATCATATGCTCGGGAAACAAACAAAAATATATTACTATTAAAATTAAATAGTGACACCTGGTACACTGGTTCTGTCAAAATGATGTTTATTTGTGAAATTTAGTTAATTCTGAAACTCTTCTTGCATATTCTTCGGCTATAAATAAATAAATAAATTATTATAAGTATAATGAATTATGATAATCCAAATAATACTTATTATATATTTTGACGAACACTTATCATGGGACTGGTCAGAGTTTAGTTGTAGTTCCCCGAGGGCTGAGATCACCCTAATTCTCATCAAATTATCGCTGAGATATCCGCCAAAATGTTTTAGAGTTTTATTCAAATATCTTTTTGCCTCCAATTTGTTATCCAAAAGTTTGTGAATTAACGCCAATTCCATAAGTGTTTGAGATTTTAAGCGACTTTTCGTTTTATTCTTATCGATTCTTTGATGTATAAAATATGGTCAAAAATTTATTAAATATCACTAAATGTAATGAATGTTTAATATGAATATAATGTACGGACTCATCGAGAATCGTATTAAAGCAGTGCTGGGCTTCAATGAATCGATTCATGTGTTTGAGTAGAACTCCTTTATAGAAAAGTGAATCCAAATAATAGCCCATATTATGCACATTCTCTGCAAATCATAAATCAATCATTAATTTATAAGTTTATTATATTTTTATATTTATTGAATGCAAACACAACTTAAATCTTTGAGATAGATCTTCATCTCCTCCTCTACTATAACGATATGTCTGTCCAGTAAAACATTGTTATCTTCAATTAAATACAACAGGTTTGCCTTATATAACATATTCTGTTTGTTTTTGTTATTGAATAAATATTAACAATTAGTGAGCAACTTTTATAAGCTTATATTGTCTAAGATTTACCATAATTGGTAGAAATAAAAAATTATGATTGGCTGCAAATTGTCTCGCATTGTCTATGCATTCAGTTTCTATGGATCCTATTTTGGGGATCACATGCCTGTCCATCATCTTTAAAGATCTGATTAAAAATAACAAAATAGATAATAAAATTTATATGAATATAAATTTAAGTATAAACCATAACCTACTCCATCAATAGTGTTGACTCTATTTTCAATTTCTCATCCCTAGTCTTGTATGCCTTGAAATATGTAAAAATGGCTTCAAAATATGTACTAATAATAGATGACTTGTTGGTTTGAGATGAAAGTAATCGGGCATAATTTATACATCCATCCCAATTACAATGTAAGGCATTAGTCCACATGAGTTCCCAACAAAATATATGATTAAACAATTGGTTTTGTGTTGACAACAGTTTTTCAAATTCATTGATTGAAGTCTCGGTTTCGCCACTGATTTGAGTGAGTTTTGCCCGAAATGTGTCGTATATAATGGACTGAGAGATAGTATCAATATTTGAGTATATAATGTGTCAATGTATTGTTTATCACACTTACATTTGGATTAGTATTTAAACGTTTATTGAGAATCATATCACAAATATTTAGATGATTTCTTTGGCCACAGTTGCCAATGGGGTCCACAAATAGGTGGTGGACGAGGAGCACAATCTCCGAAAGACGACTGTAGAGGCCGTAGTGTTTGATAGCATTTCTCGACAGTTCGTTCATTGCAATACTAGTGACGCCTTTATAACCGACAAATTTGAGCACATTTTGTAGATTTTTTGATGAGTGACTAATTAGGAGGTGCCGTACGCCTCGGTGTAGTCGGAGTCCGGCTTCGAAATTATCTCGCGATACCTCACTTTCCCAAACACTTCTGGATCGCAGAATTTGTCGACACTTTCTGTAGTTTAATTAAATTACCGTAAATGTTAAATTTATAGTCAATATTGTACTTTATTAACAATATTTTTGGTTCAATTAAGTTAAAAAAGTTACTTTACTTATAATGACTTACTTATAGGCCTTATTCGCTAAACGCAATTGATTTGTGATTTGTATTAACTGCAAAAACGACCGATTCTTAAGCAAACTTAGCAAACAGTAGTAAGCCTTGCATATAGAATAGTGAAGTTGCGAATGGATTTCCACTACAAATATTATATCATAATATCATAATATCATGGTCAATTATTGATTTTAATAAGTTGCATAAATAATACAGTATAAGAAGTTTAGTCGACTTACATTCATTATATTGTTCATAATTTGATAGTTTTATCAATTTTAAAAGTTTATTAATGAAACCTTTTCTTCTGATTGAATCACACAATTGCATTGTTTTTATCGATGAATCCAATGCTTTATTTACATCAGACTTCCGGTTATAATTTAAGTTAAAAATTAATTTTATAGTCATTTATCTGTTGATTTATCTAATTATTTAGATTTATTTTATAGAAATTATTATCTAGTTTAAATAATTAGTTTATATTAATTAGAAAAGCATTGATGGATTGAGTAGAATTGTAATAATTAAAATGAATTGTTAATCAGTAGTGCTAGATTTATTTTGATGGACAGGTATTGGTTTACCTGATTGAGAGTTAGTATGCATTTAACGACAAGTAATTGAGTTCGTAATGATTGGCAAACGATATCATAGTTGTGATGCACTTCGCACTCATCAATAGCTGCATCCAAATCATTGTTATCACAGTATTGTATGAATATATTGTACGACACTTTCAATGAATCCTTTATTGAAACACCGTTTCTGTCAATATTTATGAATCATATTTAATGAGCAATTTTAAACTATTACACCATACATTATATTTTTATAATACAATATTTTATTTATTTTTATATTAATACATTTAATTGAATACTGTACTATCCTCTAAAAGAATTACCATAGAAAATGTGAAGTTATAAAGATTTTATTTAAATGCTTACCGATTAATGTGTGAACTCATGGCTGACCCGGTTATTGACGTTTGTAATCAATTATATGATGTTAAACAATAATATGATGTTTTACATATCAATAACATATTGTGAGAACATTACAACTCTTTCTATTACTTTAATCTATAATATTATGCATTAAATTCTCTAACAAAATATTAAAAGTTTACAAAATGTTTATATTCTTAACCTTCAAATACGTAAAGCATATAAAAACAAGTTTAATATTCACCACAGGTCTCTCTCTCTCTCTCTCTCTCTCTCGAAATAAGTTTTTTAAGAAATTGTAAGTTTTTCATCTTATAATTCTCGACTATTACGACATTGAAATCAAATGAATTAATTTCAAATCATTTTTAGGGATGAAATTAAATAAATTAAACTGAATGAATGATCAAGGTTACTCTGTTGCAGAGTATTATATTTTTAATTACTCTGTTTAAATTCGATAAATTATTAAATCATAATTGGCTATACCTATTATTAATATAAAATGCGGGAAATACTGTTTTACAAGTATTTGTTATAAACCAGTAATAATTGAAATGAATTGTTAAATGTTTACTCACTGAGAGGGAGTGAGTGAGCAAATTGTGATGAATTTATAATTCCTAAGTCTTGTGACAATTTATTTATTATTCCGTTTTATGTTGAGTTTCAAATTGATTTTATTAATAATAATGTTGTATACAGACTATTGATACATGATTATAAATTAAACTAAAATACCTCAACTATATTAAATTTAATTTTTTCCCCTTTTTTAAAAATATTTTATATTTAAACTAAATTGCCATTTTTAAAATTTCTGTACAACTACATTGTAATTTATTTTATATTCAATATTAATAATTATTTGTTAGTATACATTATAATGTATTTACAATATACACTATTTAAATTCAATTTAATATAATAAAAATATTTAACAAAAAATACAACCAAAAAATAATATCTGTTTGAAATTATAAATATTTTTTTACAATCATGGGAAAAATAACAATTATGTTTTATTTAAAATATAAATATATAATTTTATATTTAGTTTATTTCAAAATAACGCATAGATCTTGTTAGTAAACACTGTTAATACAAATTAAAGCATCAATACATCAATGAGTACAATAAGGATATTTTAAATGATAATTGAATAGTGTAAGTTTTAAATTACTATTTACTCTGCCATTGAAAATAGATCTTGTTAGTAAACACTGTTAATACAAATTAAAGCATCAATACATCAATGAGTACAATAAGGATATTTTAAATGATAATTGAATAGTGTAAGTTTTAAATTACTATTTACTCTGCCATTGAAATGAATATCAAAAATAATAGGGTGTTATCTAAAAGTAATCAGAGTAGAATTTATAGGTGCAATAAGTCATTGTGACTAAGAGGGGCACCACATTTAACATGAAGCCAAAGTGCCTGTACTTGGGATACCCCAACCAGTAGGTGAGTCGTCCTAATATGAACATCTGGCTGAGGGCTGGTATGTATTTGACGGTGTGTTCGCTGTTCAAGTGCTGGACCAGTATTAGCTGAGAGACCATCGAAAGGACGAACTGCTCGAACGAGTTGTTCAACACATTCCTCGGCTTCTCGAGCAGGTGTTCGGCGCCGGCCGTCGGATCCATAGCCGGACTCCTCACCCGAACCCATATGACGGCAATTATGCAACGTATGATCCATAAAAGGCCTGTCGTCTGATACTTGAATACGTATCCAATGCGGGACTGGACGTCAGTTAAGTCATTGACTCCAACGTTAACTATTTTGCTGAAATCGATGACATCAGTCAACACCAGTAATATGAGAGCGCCGGCAGTCAACTGACCCAATATGAGAGGAGGATTCGTACTCTTCTTAAACCTCTTCGCCTGTTCCTC